ACCACTTCACAATAACTTTAACCTGCTGATTTGGGGAACTGATTTTTCACTCAAGCTTTCCTAGTTTTTCTAAAATGTTCTACCCCATTATTAGGAAGAGAACCTTTTGCTTCTTTAGGAGCAATTCTGTCACCAAAAAAATTTCTTACCTTTTTGGGAGCATTAGCATCCGACCCATTAGACAATACAGAGATAACAATGGAAATCTTATCAGAGGTAGATCCACTAAAACTCTAGGAAAGGAAGTTCATGTTCGGCCTGTTGTCATTTCCTTAAGAGACCCAAGTACCTATCCTTATAAATGACAATATCACACTCTAGACTTCAACCTCGAATTTCTAGATCTCCCAAACATGGTCTTTTCATCCACTGCCAGTACCTGTGCAACACTTCCACCCTACCAGTGCTAAAAAATGGGGAATATCCAGCTAGCCCAAGATTTGTGGGATATTAATGAGGCTATAATTCCACTCCATCCTATAGACCTAACTTGTGTACTATCTTAACCCAAATACCCAGTGGAACTACATGGTTTACGGTCCGAGATCTTAAGGATGGCTTCTTCTGCAGCTCATTACACCCTGACTCGCTATCTGTTTGCTTTTGAATGGACGATCCTGACACTATGGAGACTGCTTGGACAGTCCTGCCTCATTTGGAGATGCTCTGGCAAAAGAGATAAGGTGTCTAACTTTAAAAAATGGAGCACTACTCCATTAGTAGATGATCTCTCTAGCTCCATAAACTGGACTCTGATGAAAATTCTGTTCGCATTCTAAATTCCTAGGGGCTGCAAGATACTGAGTGTTCCTGCCAAAGGCTCATATAGCTCAGCAAAAAGCTACAATTTAGGACACAGTTTAACCACAGGGAAATGAACTCTTAGCCCCAAAAGAAAGGAGGCTCGCTTAAAACTAGGGCCACCTCAAACCAAGACAGCTCAGGGCTTTCCTAGTGATGGCTGGATTTTGCAGGATAAGGATTTACAGTTTTGAACTCATAGCATCTCTCTAGAACACACTGGAAGACAGCAAGAGAATTTTCAAAAAGACCTGTTGTTGTCTGCTCCAGCTTTAAGAATTTCTGATTTGGATAAGCCATTCATCCTCTAGATAGCCAAAAGTCAGAGCACAGCACTGGGGATCCTCATTCAAAGGCTGAGACATTGATTGCTTCCCTTGTGGTTACTTTTCTACAGTTAGACTCCGTATCATGTGGGTGGCCTGAGTGCCTATGGGTTGTGGCTACCATAGCATTCCTGGTTGATGAAGCTGCCAACTGAACTCTAGGATACCCACTGGAGGTCCAAACCCCCCATCAAGTTCAAAGTGTTCCTGAGGTTAAAGGACACCAGTGGCTAACTGGAGAATGCCTGTCTAAATATCAAGCTCTCTTGTGAGAATCTCAAGAGTTTCCTCTCAAGATATGCCAAACTGTAAATCCAGTAGCCTTGCTTCCTACCCCAGGAGAAGACAGTCTACTTCACTGCTGTGTCGGAACCACAAGACAGATTTACTCTAGCAGGCCTGGTTTTAAAGACCAGCCCTTAGACAACCCCGATGCAGTCTGACTCACTCATGAAAGCTGTTGAGTAGTGGGACTCAGATGGCAGGTTACGCGGTCCTTCACCTCCCAAAGGTGAGTGAGACAAAGCCACTTCCTTTAAACACCTCAACAGAGCTAAAACTGTCACACTTGTCTAAGCCAGCATGCAAGTCAACATCTATAATGACTCCAGATATGCTTTCTTCCTACTCATGTGGCCACATGGAGAGAGAGGAGACTCTTGACAGAAGAATTTCCCAATGAAGCACAGGCCTGAGATCCTTTCCCTCCCAGAAGCAGTGTGGCTGCTGACCCAGGCGGCAGTGACATCAGAAGGGTAATTCTCCGTGATCCAGGAAAATGCCTTGGCAGATCACAATGCCAAACAAGCAGCATTAAAAGATGCATTACAGATGGCTTTAATACCTGACCCCAAACCTGAGCACAAGTCCTTCCTATCCAGAGCTTTGAAAGAAATAGGCAAGGCAGCAAGGATATAAACCAGAAAAGGATGGCTAGTGGATTAAAGAGGAAGATCATGAAGTTTTGTAACCCCAGGCTGAGCAATGGGAAATTCTTAAAGGAACCCATGATTTATGCCATGTAGGGAAGGAAGCACTGATCACCTCAGTCAATCATGCGTGGGGTAGCGGTGACCTTCACATTCAGTATTTCAGAAATCATGAGGGCTTGCTCCTTTGCCTCCGCAGTGATCCAAGAGAAAAAGTTAAGTCCTCACCTTTGGTTAATCCAGCATGAAGGCAAGGCACCTTTGCTGGAGGAGAGTGGAAAGTAGTTCACCCAGATGGCATGGCCCTGTGCGAGGGATACAGATACTTCTCTTGCAAGCTTTTGCAGGACTTATAGAGCCTATCCAATAACAGTAAGACCAATTCAGAATAAATCAGGTAAGTTTATTCTGCACACCTATGTCTCCTCTCGCAACCATACTACGCTAAAATCAAAGCCAGGCAGTTCATGGTTCCTGAGCCCTTACACCATCCTCCAAAGCCAGAACTAGTCTGCCTCGACTGGGCCCAGCGGGGTGCCAGAGACATTAATAAAGAGGCCTGCCTGGCTCAAGGACAATTGTTGACTTCTAGTGCATCTGAGCCATTGTGATGGATGTCTCCTCTACAGGCAGATGACTGGATAGTTTCAAAATTTTATGGAACAGGTACAGAGGACAACAATGATTGTGAACTTGCTACCAGATCTAACATCTCTCCCTGGGCAATAAATGAGGGTTTTCATTAAAAAGGCCACGGGGAGTTTTTCTCTAGCCACAATTAATACACGGATGTGACAATGCAGAAATCCTGATCTACTTGACTCCTCAAATTCCCATTATGAAAGATAACCTGTTATTTAAAATCAATATTTTTGGGTCTGGGATGAACATACAATATCTGGCTGACATCTACCTTGGGACAGCTTAGCCAGGTAGCATCCCTTTGTTGGGACAGAAAAACCATATGATATATGGAGCAATGCCACCCTAAATATGGAGTGGATTCCTACACAAAGCTCTGATCACACTGTTGTATTAAGAGATGCTGATTTGTTTGTCACTGACTGGAAAGAAAGAGCTGGGGTAAAATGGCTAGCCCCGAATGGTACCCAGCTTCTGTGGAACAGACCTATAACCTTGATTGCCTTCCGGGTGGATAGAAAGATGGATATTAGGTTACCCGTGGATACACGTGTGCTGGGTTAAAACCACAGGTCAACCAGTCAACTGTCCAGTCTGTGGCACTGATGGACCAGACCAGTTTTTCCCTGGTATGATCATTTAGCCTCCATTTTATTAGTCAGGTAAGACCTGAAGGGGTAAAGTGGCATAGTCACTCACTCACTCACTGTACACAAGGGGCCTGAAGGGTCTCTGCTACTAGATTCTTAAGCAAAAATGATGAGAAAAGCCATTTTATAGAACTGAATGGCCCTACATATTCTAACGGCAACACAAGGTAGAACCTAGGCTATTATTGAGTCAGACGGTGTATATTCCTGACAACTCTGCAAATGTGTCTTCTGCCTTAGAAGATCAGCATTCAGAGTGCAGTGTCAACCTCTGGCTTAAGCTTCAGTTACTGGGTGGTCTTCTGGTTCTCTGGAATAAGCTGGTAGGAGAAGTTTTTATTTTTCTGGCTATGATGGTACCTGATCCATTGTCATTGTGGGCTAATGCTGCATATGCCCTTGCCTTCTTTGTCACACTGTCAAAAGGTGATGTTCTATGGACAACAGAACCTGATGTTCCTGTGTCTCCTTTAGATGACTCAGGACGAGACTTTCAGACCTTGGCCAGCCAGGATCAATGTCCCTCCGTGGCTTGAAGCAGGTTCAAGATGGACCACTGAACTTTCTGTATCCCTTAGGGGACTAAAGTCTCCGGAAGTGAGGTAGGACAGACAAAAGAAATTTAAAATAGGCAGAAAAGAAACAAGAAAAATTATAATTTTAAAAATAAAAACTGCAACTTTGGGACCTGAGCCAGTTAAAAAAATTTCCCCCTCTTATTCAAGTCTGGGCAGTTCCTTTTCACCTACAATGGTTTTGACCCTTCCTTCCTTCCTTCTCTTTTTCTTTAAATGTCCTTTTTCACTTCTCACCTGTGAAATAGGCTTTCTTCTATGAGCAGACCATTACTGTTATTTTTATTTTTGGTACCGGGGATCAAACTCGGGGCCTTGTGCTTACAAGGCAGGCACCAGAACCACTGAGCTAAATCCCCAGCCCAGAGCAGATCATTGTTATCTTCCTGTACTTCACTCTTGAGCACATACTTATTTCTGCCTAATAAACCCTTCCCATGCCTCTACTGATGCATCCTGAAAGCCTTTTTCCATGATGGGAGTCAGCGAACCTGCCAGCCCGTTCTACAGGTAGGGTGGTTAGGTTCAGGAACCTCCATGGACCCTGTTAGGTGACAAACACCATTCTCCATCTGGAGGAAACCAAGGCTCAGGCCTACACTAGTCAAAATGACTCACCTATTTGTGACACACGAGGGTCTGCAACCAACACGTACCTGGGTCCACGCCCATGCTTCTTTCAGGGTCCCACCTGCCTTCCATTGAGGACCACTGCCCAACTGGGTCTATCTTTACCTGCAGCCCAGTAAGCTGATCCCTGAAAGGATGAGTTTTGCAAAACAGCTAAACTAGGCGGCCGAGCATAAAGACTGGGCTCAAGCCACCTCCCCAAGGACAGTTTGTGGTGGTTACGAGATGAAGAGCGGTGGGTGTTCTGGGGTGGGAAGGTGAAGGAATGAATTGTTCTGTGTTTGGGAAGCAATCTGGATGGCTCTTCCTGGTGCATGTTCTGAAACGGCGGCGCTGTCAGCATGACCTGCGGGTGAAGTTTTAGGTCCTCTTGTTACCAAATGGAGGGTCCCGTGGGGCTTCTTCCCAGGGCCTTGGTGTCCCAAACAAAGAATTGGACAAGACAGAAAAGGCAACAAAAGTGTACATTTATTGAAGGCAGAAAAGGACACTGCAGAATGAGAACCAGGTGGAAAGGCTCACAGCCCTGAGGATAAGGGAAGCTCTTTCATATCCAAAATTCCTGGGTTGTCTCTCTCCTGTGAGTAAAATGCTGGGGAAACTGTCCTACAGTCACTTGGCATCGCACTGTGTAAACTGTCCCACCATAGAGCTCACTTGGCTTTCTGTTACATGTGAGTGAAGGATCTGGAACAGTGTTTTTTGATTGGTTGTGCCCACATGCAAATGAAAGACTGAAAAGAGCATCTTCTGAATGGCTCTGTGTATGCCAGATTCAAATGCAGGATTGAAAATAAGTTTCTGATTGGTTCAAAACAGCACTTTCCTGCCTGGGTCTGTGTACAGTGCCGATGGCCTCACTGCACTGAGAACGCTGGCCCTCCCACTGTTGCCCTGTCTTCCTCTGCTGTCAAAAGTGCGCCCATTGGACACTTCCGGAGATCCAAGTGAGGGGCCCCAGCTTCAACCAGTTTGAACCACGCAAAGCTTTCTCCCAATCCTTAAAAAAAAGGGCGGGCGGGAATGAAAATAATCATTACGAAGCTAACCAAGCATCAGAGGCGTTATTTACAGTTGAAGCTAGCAGGGGTCTTTCCAGGTTTCCTGTTTCAAAAGGAAGAAAGAATGCGCTCTTTGATTTTAAAATTTTAAGCAGGAAGGGAGAATGCCTTTCTCTCACGCCTCTCGTAAGAGAGAAACCTGTCCACCTCATTATGGAAACTCGGTCACAGGATGAGCCCGCGAGCGACAGCCCAGCAACCCGAGCACGCTGAGGGTCGGGCGGGGCGCGGCGCGCTGTCCGTGGGTCGGTCGTCAGACCGCGAAGGCCGCCCGCCGCCCGCAGCCCGCCCACCCAGCGCCCTCGCCGTCCGTTTCGGCGGACACAGTTTCTCAGCAAGTGTTATCCGCAGAGGACATTTCTTGGAGAAAGGATTTTCTGGTCCGTGATCTCCATTATAAAACGAAACCCGGAGCCAGCGCTTGGGGAAGAGGTGGCGCCGCAGTTGCCTGAGGAGCAAGCGCAGCCCGCGCGGCCCGGCTGCGGCCTCCGGAAGGGTCCAGGGCCGCGGCCGCGGGCCCGGCGCAGAGGCTGGGCTCGGCTCGGGCCCGGGCGCCGCCCTCGGAACCGTTCCGATCCGTCTGCAGGCCCGTCGAGGCACAGACGCGGCTCCGGGAGGTCGCGGTCCGCCCCGCAGCTCGGGTCGCGCGCACAGGGCGGCCCAGCCGCCGGAAGTGTCGCCCGTGGGCCCAGGGGGCAGCGGCTCACAGCAGGCGGCCCCCACGCGCGTCCCCGTCCGCGCCCCCCGCCCGCGGCCGGTCGTAGCCCGAGCCCCCGGGGAACGCGCACGCAGGAGGGGGCACGAGGTAGCCAGGGGCGTGGCCGCCCGCGGCGGGCGTGTCGCGTGGCGTGGCGATGGGCGTGGCGTACTCGGGCCCGGCGCGCGGCAGCGGCAGCGCGTACTCGTGCGCGTCCCCGTCCTCGCGTGCGTCCGTGGGCCGGAAGGTGGAGCCCGCCCTGGAGGCCGAGTCCGCGCCGACGGCGTCCAGGGGCTGCCGGTAACCTAAGGGCAGGGGGCGTCACGCCACGCACGCTCCGCTCCGCCCGCGGGCAGAGGCGGGCGGGCGGGAGGCCTGGTCGGTGGAGCCCGAGAGCTCGTCGCGGCCGCCGAGCAGGGGAAGGCGAAGCGAGGCGGCGCCCCGAGCTCACCTTGCAGCCCTCCTCCCCGCGATTCGCGGATGGCCCGGCCCTCGGGCTCCGGACGGACTGCTGGGCAGAGCGCTGCGACCCCAGCTTCACCGGCTCCGCCCCGCGGCCGCCCCGGGTGACACTTACACTCCAGGCCGAGCTTGCGCGTCTCCTCGTCGTCACTGTGGTAGCTGATGGTGAACTCTGCCGACGGGTGCTTCACCTGCTTCCAGCAGCCTGGGGTAAGCAGAGCGCGAAGCGAGTCAGCAGCCCTCCAGTGTGAACCGCGCCAGTGTCCCGGTCCCAGACGGGCTGCCGCAGTGCCCGCACGTGCTTCCGCGGGCTGCACTGTGCGCGCCCCCGGGCCCCGGGTCACCTCGTGGGAAGCACCGGCGGGGCACAGTACCCGCATTCGTGGTCCGAGGGACAGCGCTGCTGGCCTCGCCAGTCTTGGGAAGGTGGGGAAGGCGGGCAGCAGTCGCGCTGGTCAGGGCGAGGCCTGAGGATGCCCCAGGAGGAGGGCAGCTTCTCCTTGGTGACACATGCATGGGAACCTCGGCGCCAGTGGCACAACACGCTCACGTGTGATGGGGCTGATGCTGAACATAGGTGGCCGCCGTTCTGAGTCAGCTGCAGACGGCACAACAGCTTGCTCCCTGGGGATGCGCTAGCTTACAGGCTGCGGTGCTTACTTAAAAATCGATGCTTATTTAAAAATCCGCGCAGCCATCTCCCGTCCTCTGCAGGTCACTTTCCGAAAAGCAAAGGACCTCAGTCAACCACAGGCTGAAAGTATCAGGTGGAAAATCCCAGAAACGTGATTGTTGTGCTCTGTCAGAAGCTGGGGAGGAGACTCATCCTCTTGTGGCGTCCCCACGCCCCACATGGACCGAGCACAGCACCAGTGACCAGACCTGTGGTCGTGCAGTGAGTGTCACAGGGCCGGGCCGCCCCGCTTCACTCAACAGTGGCCCCAAAGCACAGGATTAGAGACACTGGCAGCTTTACTCAGCGTGTTGTTTTAGTTACTGTTACTACTGTGCTAATCTCTTGCTTTGCCTCACATGTGAATTAAACTTCATCCCGGGTGTTAGGCGTAGGAGCAGAGCGGCACACAGGCCCAGCCACCCCCAGGTCTCAGGAAGCAGCTGGGTGCCAGTGGCCCTGGCCACAGATGGCTTTGTCTGCAGGTCTGTCCCTCCTCGCTCCGAGACCGAACAAGGCTGCAGGTGACGCTCCAACCAACCTGTTTTCAGAGGCTCTGGGGATGCGTACACGTTTTCTGCCTTCTTCTTCCTGTCAGGGCGGAAGTCCTCCTGAGTGCCCCGTATGGTGGGGACGGCAGCATGGCCCCTGCTTACGTACGAAGCCGCAGGCGCGCACACTTCACCTCACTGCTAACAAGGCCGCCGCGTGTAGCTAGCGGCACAACGCTGAGTACGGTCAGAAAGCAAAGCCTCGGCTCGGCTCGGCTCGGCACGGCACGGCACGGCACGGCTCGGCTCGGCTCGGCTCGGCACGGCACGGCACGGCACGGCTCGGCTCGGCTCGGCTCGGCTCGGCACGGCTCGGCTCGGCTCGGCTCGGCACGGCACGGCACGCTAATGTATGCAGCTTTCACTCAGGAATGTCTGCCTGGGCCTTAAGCACAGACTTCGGCCCCTCGCTCACTTAAGTCAGGAGTAAGTCTTCATCCTATCTGCACGATACCCACTTTATGAGTTCTGAAGCTGTTTACAATGGAAAAAGAGAAAACTTCAGGTGTTTCACATTTCGTGTTTAAAGCCAACTCCTACTAAGCAAGCCAACAAAAGCAGAGTTTGGAATTTTGGACAGACCCGAAGTCTTCACGGCAAACTCCTTTGCTCAGCTCAGGGACTGGGACTCGGGGACACGGAGGGACGGGGCTGCCTGCTGACTGGAGTCTGGCGCAGCCCACCGTGCATGGGAGGGCGACGGCCAGCGGGCACCAGGGTCCCTGCAGGTGGTCTCCCTGGGTGAGCCTGTGCTGGTGCCTGAGTGACAAGAGTTGCTTATAAAGTAATACTGGGTAATTTCTATCCCGCCCCACTTGTCTTTAAAACATAAACGAGTGATTTTTCTTGAAAAGCGCGTGCCTTTTCTACACGTGAGTATCTGAAAAGTAAGCTTTTTGGGGTGATGACTGCACACATAATCAGAGAGGAAATTTAACAGCTGAAGTCATGTACCTTCTCAAGGCTGCAAAGAGCCCCACTCCCGCCAGCAGGAGGACCCCAAGGAGGACCAGCGGGATGGCCACAGCGGTTGTGTTTAGTCCTGGAAGAGTGAAAGCCGCTGTGTTACAACCTAAGCCACTGGCAAGCAGAGTGTGTGACCCAAACCTGAAGGTGGATTTGGGGGTCTTCAGCTCTTTAAACACAGGGGCCACGAATACATGCCGAGTACTTTATGCCAGAAAGGAAAAGAAGAGTGTTCGAAATCTAATGTTCAGGAAAATAAAATGTATCTTTTCCCCTTTCAGAGGCAGTTTCTAGTTCTCAGGGCTAACATTTCCTCTGAGCTTGTTGCCTGGACAATTTCAGAGTCCACATGTCAGAATCGAGCATTTCCGCCCTGTGGGACCAGATGCCTGCATTACAGAAGAAACTCATCTCCGCAGCACTGACGCAGACAAATGTGGAAACCACACAAGGGCAGAAATGCAGGGACTTGGATGGGAGCTGCCTTCATGTAAGGAACTCTGGGACCATTTAGGAGGGTGACGATCAGGGATCAGCAGCTTAAACACCCCCCAGTGGGGGCTGCCTGGTACCCGTTCATGACAGACATCAGAGATATTAATAACTGTCCTTTCGACTGTGTGGTCAGATGAAAAAGCACTCGCAATCCACTGTGAAGTGAGAAATCTACACCACTACAGAATGCTGGCTATGCTACCACTTTGTTCTCCAGTCGGGAATATAAACGGGTGACTGAATACAGTGGGTACGGTGATCATCTATTGATGCTGACAAATGGCTGTGTATTTTATTCATATTTTTATAATCTTTCAAAATTTTCTAAAATTCTCATTTTATATTCTCAAAAATGTACTTTTAATCTTCATTCCTTGACTAGATTTTACATTTAAATGTTCAAAATTCCAAATATAACAAGGTGTAGAATGGAATATCTCCCTCCTACCTCTCTGGTTCTCTACAAGAACCCAAATTCTGTTTCTTGATGTCTTTAAAGATCCTAGAATATGTGTGTTCACCCTTCGTCCCCCCACTATACAAATGGCCACCTAGATTGGTCTACCCTTTCCTATTTAAGTTGCAGCACAGCTCTGAACACGTCCTATATTAGTAAGGCACCCTTCTTATGGCTATGAAATAGTTCATTATGTGATGTGCTATTTCACTTTTCCACAGACTATCTCCCGAATCTCTAAGGGACGTGTAAGCTTCTTTCTGATCTGTCTCCTTGACATATCACCCACAGCAGCGTGGACAGGCAATCCACACAAGCGCTAACCTGACAGCATGGCCAGCTGTCGTGTTACACACGAGCGTCGCCCGAGCAGCAGGACGGGCCTTGTGTTTCACATGTGTGGACACCTTGGAGCGGCTTCCCCAGGGTCCTGGGACAGGCTACCGTGACACGACTGTGGAGGCTGGGAGGGAGCCGCCCTCGGCCCTGGAAGCCCGGACGGCTCACCTGCTGCACCTGGGGGCACCTCCTCCGCCGGGTGGGTGTCGGGCTCCGAGGGCAACTCATCTTCTGTCTTGGCCGAAAGCTCGGTGTCTGGTCTTGCTTCTCGCCACACCGGCGACTGGTCCCCTGAGAGGAAGGGCGTTGGGACGACCGCATGACCCAATGCTGTGCAGAGGGGCCGGACCCGAGCTCCCCACTCTGGGGCCCACCTTGTGCGGAGAGGCACCCCAGCAGCTCCACCTTCAGTGCAGCCCGCTGGTGCCAGGCTCTGGGCAGCACCCGCACGTATCTGGCCACGAGCGGCGGGATGAAGTTGTTCCGCACCGGGTCCCGCCAGTTAGAGTTGCCCTGGAACACCTGAGGATGGGGCAGGCCACTTCCCTGAGGCTTGGCAGGCGGTGCCAGGCGTCTCCAGCCCCGCCTGCCGGGAACCAGCCAGGGTGCAGGTGGCTCTCTGGGGCACGATTGCTGCCCAGTGTGCACAGGAGCAGGTTCCCGCCCAGGCGCTGCTGCTCTGCTTTCAGTTTCACTCTGGACCAGGGAGCTACGATTGCCTTGTTGAATGTGATGCTGCTGATAACCAGTAGCCACAGGAGCACAGGCCAGCACCCTTAGAGTGGAGGGTGGCCGCCCTGTGAATCAGCCACTTCTGCTGCCCAAGGAGCCATGGGCACCTCACAAAGACCGATCAAGTTTCGCTTTTTGTTTTTGTTTTGTGTGTGTGGTACTGGGGGTCGGATCCAGGGCTTAATTTTTTTTTACTCTGAGACAGGGTCTCACTAAGTCTCCAAGTTGCCCAGGCTGGGCTCAATCTTGTCATCGTCCTGCCTCAGCCTCCCAGAGTGCTAGAATCACGGGCATGTGCCATGTGCCTGGCTCTTACAGACTTACTGACAAGTGCTGTGTTCTTGTGTGCACACGGAAGCATGCCTGCCTCTCTTAAGAGCGACTAGGCCCGGGGTGGAAACCTGAGGACCTGAAAGCTGCTTGGTTCTCGATCCGGAGCTCCTCCTACCTTCTCCTCATTGTCCAGGACTCCTGTGTAGGTCCTCCACTGAGAGCTGTTTTTGAAGTTCACCACAAAGCTCTTCACGTAGAAGTTGAAATTTGGCTGCGTGGATCCTGTGGTCCTAATGCCTTATGAGAAAACATTCCTTGCTGGTTAGTTCCAGAAGTAGTTATACATAAGTGAGTTAGAATTTCAGTCCTCCTCTCTTATTTTCCTCCCCAATTGCTTTCTGGCGACCAAGGCTGCACGTAGAGCCCCACCCAGCAGAGCATGGGCCCTGGCCACCGCAGGAGGATGGCTCCCAGCCCTGTGCTTCCCCCAGACCTGGCCCTGTGCACATCCTGAGGTGAAGGCCCGCAACATCTTCAAAGGCCCTAAGCACTGGGGGGAGAGGGCTGCTGCCCACAAGCCGCCCGGCGCCTTGCGCTCCGAGAACCTCTGGCCCTTGTCAAAGTACCTGTGATTTTCTTTTCCTCGCCCAAGTCTATCTGCAGCCACTCTCCTTGCTCATCGATGCCTGCAGCCCAGGACGGGCCTTGGTCCTGCAGCTGGGCTTGGCTGGCAGACCAGGGAGCTGGCTTTTCGGAGTCGCTGACACCCGGCCAGGAGGACGACGCCCGGAACTGCACCCCAGGGTCCGAGCTCAGGGCTCTGCTGCAGTCTGAAACAGAAGGGCAGGGCAGGGCAGGGATCAGGCTGCACAGGTCCCCGGAGTAAGGGCAGGCTGACTCCCTCTCCCATTCAGATCCAGCGCTAAGGACCAGCTGGGAGGCGCTGCACATGGGCCGCACTGGTCTGTGCCACAGTGTTGGAAACTGGCTGCTTTTTGTCCTAGTAGATCTCAGAACCCCACCCTGTCTCTGACATTCTATTTCCAGGCCAGAGTTTCTTTCCTAAACTGACCCTGTTTTATCACAGCACAGTTTCTCTTAGAGGATTGCAATGATTCTTACTCTAAGAAGAATCAGAGGGCTCTCACTGTCTGTGCCCTTGAAAAGCAGCCACGACCAGGCTGAAAATGAGTAGACAGAGTCAGGCACGGTGGCACACACCTGTGATCCCAGCACTCTGGGAGGCGGAGGCAGGAAGATCACACGTTTGAGCCCAGCACAGGCAATGTAGTAAGATACTGTCTCAAAACTGATGAGGAGGAGCGGCAGGGGGAGGAGGAAGAGGAGACAGCGGCGGCTGGGGATATAGCGCAGTGCAAAGGCCCTGGACTCAGTCCCCAGTGCTGTGAGGAGAGAGGCAGAGAGGCGACAAGGACACTCTGCCAACATCCCCCACAGGACGCTAACTTGGCCATGTCCCAGCGATGTAGGCATAGTAGACAAAGAGCACACCGCTCTTCCTGGGCAAAGAAAATGTACTCACACTGTTTGCCTGACAGTTTTTTACTTTATGCTGAGGGATGTTTCCATGGGATAGATCTCATGATGGAGAAACGTGAACGCTTTTACTTTTACTGAACCTTTTATGGAGCTTTTACTGACCTCAGTCGTCTTATTTGAGATAACCACAAACCAAGCTGTAATACTTAAAAGCTTCTCTTAAATGTGAACATGGGACTTTATCTTAAATGTTCCTTCCTTTTTCATTCTTTTTGGTACAAGTTTGAGAAGGACACATAATAACATGAGGTATGATTGAAAAATATGATGAATGTTAAAATTTTTAGAAAGTTTTACAGTGGAAGCGCATTGCCGCGAACCCCCCAACCCCGCCCTGGCGTTCAGCACACTCAACCCGTCGTCTTGCCACTTCCTGCAGCAGCTCCGGGTCCTCCCGCTTCCGTGTTTAGCTGTGCTGCTGTGGCTGCCTCGATGTCCTGGATGGAGTGCAAATGCTTCCCTTTCATGGTCATTTTGACTTTGGGGAAAATCCAGAGGCCCCATAGTGCGAGGTTCGATGAACAAGGTGGGTGAGGACACAGTGTCATGGTCTACGAGCGAGCCCACCTCTCCCTCGGGTGGCTCTCAGCAGTGGCGCTCACCATGGTTGGATCATATACAGACACTCAGGAAAGAGGCTCCAGAACTGCCTGTGACAGTGGCAAGCATGAGGGGCGAGCTGTGTCTGAGGCAAGGGGACCATTCTGAAAGGGGGTCAGGGCAGGGCGTCTTTGCTGTAATACATTTGGGGAGGTTGAGTCAGGGTCTTGCTGTGTAGCCCAGGTTGGCCTTGAACTCACAATGATCTTCCTGCCTCAGCCTCCTTAGTGCTGGGCTCACAGGCACGGGCCACCGAGCCCAGCTTACAGTTTTTGAATTTAAATTTAAACAGACACTGTATTTCTCTACCACTCTTTGTACAGAAAGACATTTTCTGCTCAATGCTACTGAGACTTATTGTCGTGTACTTAAGTCACAGAAAATTTGGTATCAAGTGACCTGACAAAACCAGAAAATTTTGTCTATATTTTATATACATAATCCTTGAGTTTGCAGAAGAATCTGCAATGACCACACCCTAAGAAAAGCAAGCTCCTTACCATCTGAGGCAAACAGGAATCGCTTTCCAGACAGGGAGCCACTGCAACGACAAAGACAGCAGGAAAGTGAATCACACGCTGGCCGGCGCCAAGGCCGAGACCCCGGAGGGATGCCACCACCAGGCCTTGAGCACTGCTTCCCAGTCAGCCCCATGTGGCCTCGGGAGGAACCGCAGAGAGGCAGCCCCGGAGCAAAGGTGGCCCCAGGTCACCAACGAGGGAAACAGAAAGATCGCAGCCTGGAAGTGCACAGGGCCCACTGTCGCCGTCGCTCCCCATTCAGTCACAAGCAAGGGTCACTGCGGGCCTTCCGCGGCTTCTGCCACAGCCCTCTCCTTGTCCGGGTCCCCACATCCTCCTGGGACAGCCTGCACCCAGGGTCATAGCCCAGAGCTCCCAGGGCTGGCCTCGCTGTCCTCAGCCCTCAGCCCGCACCCCTGGAGAGCCAGAGCCACCCATCTCCCTCTGCAGAGAGCAGATCCCAGGCTGGGCCAGTGCCACCCCGGCGCTGGGAGAAACATGAGAAGGAATGGGAACTTGGGACTCCCCAGCAGGCTCTTACTACACAGCAGTCATATGCTAGACATGGGAGGGAAATGCAGAAAGGTGGAGTCACGACTGTGTTCAGTGTCTTCAGTCTGGGAGCCCTGCGCTTTATTCTGTTTGACTCTGAATTACACACAGTTTGGGACAGAGAGATCTTTCTAAAACATAAAATCCATAGGAACCCAGAAAGGATCTGTTCAAGAAAGCCAGCACCTTTCCGTCAGAAGCTGGAGAGACACCAGGTGTGAAATGCTCTGGCGAGGTTCCCCTTCCTCCTCATCTGCTCGGGCAGAGACTGCACAGCCTTGGTGCTCACAGAAAGGTGCTAGAAGCTTGGCACCAAATGTATCTGCACCCACCACTTGTCACCCGGGAGAACTCTGGCCCCAGCGCGGGGACTCGAATTCCACAGCTCGGGACAGAGCTCTGACACAGCAAGAGGATGCTGCAGGAGTGAATCGAGGGTTATTTGCAGTGGCTCCATCTGGTTTTCCCATGTTCTGACTTCCTGCCCTAAGAGTCTCCCTGGAAGTGTGGCTCAGCTTAGCCTGAGGGCCCGCTGAGACTGACAGCCTGTGTCCCCCCACTGCCACAGAAGAGGAAGGGTCCCCTTCTGGATCTCCCTGCTTACCAAGGAGAGCCAGCATGGGGAGGACGCCGCCAGAGTCTGCAGGAGGAGAGACCTGGAAGGCTCTGCTTCCATGGGTCTGCCTAGGTTCTCCAGCACTAGCTGGGGATGTTCCCACTCTGTTCCGAGCACTTAGATGGCTCTGGTGAACCGCGGCTCTGGAGAAGGAGAGCCCTGGGAGGGCGATCGTGGGGACACAGAGGCTGCAGTCCCTGTCCCTGTCCTGCAAGCTCCTAACTCAGGCCCACTTGGCCAAGCCCTGGGAGAGCCCCAGTGTTCATTCACTGCGGGACCTGTTCTCATGCCGGCTCCCCTGTGCTTCTGCTGTGTGGGACACAAGTTCAACAACCGCAGACCACACGGGTGAAACCAGCAGCTACCTAAGTCCCGCGACCTTCTGTGTGGACGAGACCACAAGAATCTCCCAGGCACTCGGCTCAGAGAAGGAGCACAAGCCACAGAGCCAGTAGGGGGAGGCCCCGGAGGGAACCCCGGCTTTGCATTTGTGCCACCAGAGCAGAGCTTTCTCCAGTTCATGGTTTAAGTTTTTATACTTCCCAGCATGGAAATTCAGTTTCAAATTACGTAGAAGTCCAGCTGATACAGATGTAACTGAGAGAATAGTCTACTTTTATTCAATCCTTCTAATAATTTTTCTTCAAACAATTTAAAACCTAGCAGTACAAGTCAGACTTTACCAGCGTATTTCCTTGCACGAGAAGCACTCAGATGTGCATAGGCAGAAGGGAGAGTCAACGTCAAAGCTGCCTGGAGACAGCAGCCCCTCCAGTGTGGCCCAGAGCCTGGCCCTGCTTGAGGGTGCACTGGGCAGTAACAGGAGGAACCACAGAGCCCAGGGACATTTAAGGCTTACAGTGCATAAGGGGCCATTTTTATCATAAACTGGACAAAAATGTCTACGTTCCACAGAGCTGGAGACATATATATGTGAAAAGATGTGTGTGTGTGTGTGTGTGTGTGTGTGTGTGTGTGTGTGAGATTTTGTTTATTTGAATGAAGATTTTAGTTTCTGAAGACATCCTGTTACCAAGCTGTTAAATTTTGGCGCCGATTTAAAGATTCATGCATCTTTGACTGTTCAGGCAGGTACTGTGAAAGAGCAGGGGCCAGGCAGGGTGGCGCACTCCTGCAGTCCCACCTACGGGGAGGCCGAGATGGGAGGATCTCCAGTTCAAAGCCAGCTGGTAATTCAGAAAGATTCTTATCTCCAGTTAAGTAAAAAGGCCTAAGGAGGTAGTTGAGTGGTAGAGTGCTTGCCATGAGTTCAATCCCCACTACTAAAAACAGGAAAGGAAGGCAGGCAGGCGTGGTGGCACAAGCCTGTAATTCTAGCACTTGGGAGGCTGAGGCAGGAGGGTCACCGTGAGTTTGAGGCCAGCCTGGGCTATAGTGAGACCCTGTCTCAAAAAAACCAAACCAAACCAACTAAGCAACCTACCAAACAAAAACCAAACCACTGTGTGTTCTCTCACAGTTAGGAATCCTACCCAGAAGCAGACCAGAGGACAGCAAACAGGAAGTGAACAGAGTGTGTGTGCAGTGTGCAGCACATCCCCGTCAGTCCCTGTGGTCCTCACTCAGCACCCACCTCACCATGCAGCGTGCACCCGAAGCGCCTCATCCATTGCCCACCCAGGGGAGGGACTGCACTGCTGGGCGGAGCTCTGCGCTCTGCTCTGCTGCCCGCATCCTCTCCAGTGCCTTCCTCGCCTCCATTCCCGCCCGCCTCACCTCCTTCACAGTGGCCCAGCCACCTCCTCCCTGGCTCCAGTCACTGCTTCCTGACCCTCTCCTCTGCACCTGGGCCAACACCCCAGTCCTGAAACAAGCCTTTGGAAATCAGAATACATTTTCTTAGAAAAATAACATCATAACTAGCGTCAGGATCCCCGCTTGACCCATGATGCTGCTAAACTATGAGGCAAAATTTAAGCAAAAAAGTAGAAGAGAAAAATTATTGCATAACCTTCTCAGAAGGACATCAGTGCCACTGTATCTGTGCTAACTTGGCATATTAGTCAGCTTTCCTGTTACTGAACAAAGTACCTAACATCCTCAACTTGCAGGAGAAGAGGTTTTAGTCTGCTCACAGTTCCGGAAGGTTCAGGCCATGGCTGGCTGGCTCACGGCAGGAAGATCATGGTGGATGGGCTCACGGAGCAAAGCTGCTCTACTCATGGGGGTGAGAAGCAGAGCGGGCTGGAACACCAGCATGAGTGATCCTCCAAGGCAGCCAGGGACCAGGTCCTAAGCACATATTCAACTGTGAACATGGGCAGATGAGCCCAGGATTTGGGTAACCTCCATGATCCAGCTACCTCTCCAGAAGTCTGAATCCACACCAGCTGACAAGTAAGCTCCCTGGCTCCCTGAGAACTGTCTGCCACCCAGTGTGGCTCAGCAGATGATGCAGTTCACTACCCACTGCGAGCTGGAACAGTGAAACATGACCAGGCAGGGGCAAGGGCAGGCGTCACCCTTACTGGGGGTGATGGAACAGTCCCGACTGACGTTTCCCCACTTTCGGAGCCCAAACAGTCATAATCCAGGAGGACACTGCCAGGGAGTGCGAGGGACTGAGGAGCTGAGCGGCACTGCTGCCTCCCGGGCTGTCCTGAGGGTGCCCTTCCCAGCCGCTGACACATGTGCATGGGCGTCCACACCACAGCGCAGGCCTGCACCTCGTCCTACGTGGCGCCAGCCTTCTACCTTCCAAAGCCGGGAATCTGGATGCATGGGAAGCATGGGCCGAGGTGTGTACAGCACCCAACATGCTTTCTTCTTATGAAGCAAAATGACACCAAACCAAGAAGTTAGCATTCACAAAGCCACCTTTTTTCTGTATCTTAGGTAAAATGGGAGATTGCCACGACTTTACTGGAATTATAAAACCAAGAATGAATCAGCCTTTGTTCTCTGCCACCAAAGTGCCTGCGAGCAGACTTGCTCCTGCCCTACGGCTCCAGCTGGGTGCAGCCACCAAGCCAGGCTTCTCCCCTGCTGCATGTGCCTTTTGTGAGAGGCCCTGGTGCTGGTCGGCGCTCACATCTCTGGCTGGCAGCAGCCTGGCCCTGCCCTGCCATCCTGGCAGCACGCAGAGCTCCTCCGTGTGGGCCTCGGGGCTAAGGGAAGCATGCTACTCACTCCTTGGACAGCACCCCGTTGGCCAGGCCTCCTTGGTAGCGACTCAGCCCTCGGTGCTGCAGCACGTGGACGCGGCCACCTAGCTCATCAGCAATCGCCCCTGCGTGGATGGCAGCTTTGCAGAGCAGAGAGGTCTGGAACACAGAGGGCACCACTCAGCGCTCACCCGAGACTGCATCCAGGACTGAGCTGGCACTTCCTGGTTCTGTGGCAGTGGGGCCGTTTCCCACAGCCCCAGGCAGTGCTTCTGGATGCTCCTGCCAGTGTGGGCCCCTCCCACAAGCACCCTGAGGCTCGCTGTTCTCTTCTGCCTTAACGTGGCCCTGCAACTGCCACAAAGGGCAGCGAAGCCTCCACGCTGCCTGTGCCTGCCACAGGTCCACACGCACGTGCACCTGCAAGGAGCAGGTGGTCTTGTTCAGCAGAAAAGATTATGGCTCTGGTTCCTCTGACCTGGTTTACCAGTCGCACCTGTCTGAGGGACTTTGAGAAGCCGAGCCTCCCAGACACAGCTTCATTTGGCAACATGGAGGTTTCTCAGGCACCCGAACCAAACGGGAACAGCCACCGGGAGCACTCTGGGCACAGCACACGCAGCAGAGGTCTTGCAGCGTGAGGCAATCGTAGCCCTGGCCTCTGCTTTCACGACCCAGGGCCCACCAGCCGAGTCCACTCTGTGAGTGCCCGCCGGTGTCCCTGCTTAGCTGGCTGTGGCGACTTCCAGTCAGGGGTCACAGCTGGGTCCATGGGAGGCCGAGGCCTGCAGGACCCAAGCGTGTGTGTGTGCATGTGTGCATGTGTGAGACAAGCCAGACCAGCTTCCTGTCACCGACATCCCCTGGTCCCTCTGGGTTCTGCCTTTTGGAGCCACGCAGAATGAGGTGATGCTCTTCTGTAACAGCTTTTAAGACAGCACATTCCTTCCAGCCTGGGTCTGCTGCCTCTGCGGCTCCTGTAGTAATCTGTCCTCCAGTCCCCGCCATCCTGGCCTACAGGACATGCTTTGTCCTGCAATGGCCCTTGCAAGAGAGCTGCGCTAGCTGAACCCATCCCCATAGGGAAGGCACCACAGAGCGGACTGCAGGTGACCCTAGGTCCTGGCCCAGTGTGGCCCTGGCAGAATTCTCTTTGGACTCACAGAATGCAGCCCAGGAGCTGGCCCTCCCAGGACCACACTACACAGCACTCATCCTCTCCCTGGGAGGCTCCAGGGGGAGGAGATTCTGCCTCGCTGGCTTTGAAGAAGCAACTGGCTGTGCTGAAGGCCCACATGGCCATTTGGGCAGCTCCAGCAGAAATCCAGTAGGAAACTGAGGGCTTCGGTCCAACTACCATGAAGTAACCCCTAGCTACTGACACCCTGTGGGCTTAGATGCGTTTCATCCTCTAGTGGAGCCTTGAGCAGACACAGCCCTGGGTACACTTGGTTGCATCCTTGTGGAACCCTGAAGCAGGAGCCCAGTGAGTCATAGGAGATGAGAGGTAATGAGTACTGTTGAAGCCTTGAGATTGCGTCAGCGTTGTTATGCAGCAGGAACTGTCAGATACACCCACAGTGTCAGCACTGCAAGCAAGCCACCCATCATGCTCCTCTGAAGAGATTCGCTTTCAAAATACAAAATCTCCCACTAGGTGGAATCATTCTAATAGCAAATGGTGCCAGGCTGTGGTGACGCAGTGGGAGCCTTGCATGCTGGGGCCTGCAGGTCAAGTCCTCAGATCTGCACAGGACACCACTGGGCATGCTGCCCTGGAAGAGCACTCTGTCAGGGGGCGGAGGTGATGCCACACAGGGGTCAGCACCCTTATTTCTCTTATTGCACATGACTCTTATGTCCCTTGCACAGAACAGTGATAAAAACCTTTTATCACTAGGGGGAAAATACTACACTTCAACATTTTACTTAATTTCCCAGAGTCATTTAGGAAGCGCTTAGGCCATATGACTCTTCAAATTAAGCAGTGTAAATCATTTCAAGGTTCAAATAATTTATAGGTCAAATGGATAGCCTGTGTCACATTTATAAATAAAAGCAGTCTAGGGAAAAGGAAACAAAAGTAAAATAACAAAATCTGCCATTCTTAGAATCAAGATGTGATTAAATAAAAAAAAGTAAAACCAAGTTTTTTTCCAGAGAATTATTAATCTGTAAAATGGGTAAAGCTTGTTTTCCCTGTGCTCGAAGAGACACATCAATCAGTGGTGGTGAACCTATGGTATACATTCCACAGAGGGCCATTTGTTATCATCAAAAGCTCTAAAGGTTTGCCATCTCTGTCTTAGAACAATTCCACTACTGTATATATTTTTCACATTTCTACTATCTCAAGCCAGTTCCAATAAACTAAGCTGTAAACCCAACTATTTGAAATGACTGTAAAATTTTAAAAACCAGTGCCATATTTCCAGGATAGATATCTATAGGTATCTATTTAGAGATAAAGGGAAGACGTTTGTATCTGCAGAAAGGACTTTTAGTTGAGAACAGTGATTTCCTGGGGACAACACATATAATCCAGATGGTCTCATGAGCTGTAAAACCCAGGGCACTGCAGGGAGGGAGGGACATGTTAGGGGAGGGCATGTGGATTCGCCAGCCTGGACAAAGCTGCTATCCTGGGATGTGAGGATCCGTGTCCTTGCTCCATCACAAACAGTGGGAGGCTCAGGAAACAAATCCTAACAGATGAAAATCCATAGCCTCTTACTGGAATCCAGCATCAGGTATCACAGCCTTGGTCCTCAGCATGGCACTGCTGCGGGGGTGGAACCTCAAGAGACGTCCTGGGGGATAGACGGAGGCCCCGGGGACTGTGGGCCTGGATCTGCTGGCTCCATGCTGACTTTGCCTCCCCGGAGCCAAGGGGAGCTGCTCAACCCTGACTCAAAACTGGGCCAGTTAACCAGGGACAAAGCCTTCAAAAATGGGAGTCAAAGCAAATGTTTCCTCTTTTTTTTTGGTGCCGAGGATGGAACGTGGGACCTTGTGCTTGCGAAGCAGGCACAGAACCCCTGAGCTAAATCCCCGGCCCAAATCTTTCCTCTTTTTAAGTGCATTAATTTCAGGTGTTTGTTACAGTCACAGAAAGCTGACTAACAATGGAATAATAATAGTAGGTGTTGGAAAAGTGTGTATTTTCCATTTCATGTACAGTGTGCTAACTGGACGATACAAATAGGAGTGAGTGCATAGAAAAGCCTAGGTTTTTATACATAGTTCACTTCATGTAGCCTCAGCAAAGCCTAGAGAACGTGCACCTGCTCAGAGCTGTGTACCCTGCTTCACTCTGTAAGGAGTGTGGGGACAGCAGCTGACACGCTTTTTCACCCCCTTTCTGCCATCGCAGTGGCTACTCACATCTCTGTAGCCATCGACTGTATTCCCAAAAATGTCTCCTGCTACGTCTCTACAACCAGCTGGGCAGAACTTGCTGGAAAAAGAAGAATAAAGAATTTATATCTTACTAAATTATACTGAAACAAAAAGTATTAAACTGTACTTAAATTTTGAAAGTATTTTCTGTCCTCCATAGAGAAGGCAGGGATATCTTGCTATAATAAAAACCAGAAACCTGATTTGTGAACACAGATTGATCTAAAATGTTAATCTGAAGGCAAGTTTTACACAAGGATTGTTTCCTTTAATAAGAATTTGCCATAAACTCTGTTAAACAATGATTTTCCTTATGCACTTTGATTCTCAGATGCCTATAAAATATTTTTTTTCTTTTTGGTACTGGGGCTCGAACTCAGGACCTTGTGCTTGTGAGGCAGGTGGTGGAACCACTGAGCTAAGTCCCCGGCCCCCTATAAAACATTTTTAAGGTACTAGGAAAGTTTCATCAATATAGTATGATCTAATTTTTATAAAAAGAAGTATTTAAAATATATGGCAATTTATGTTTTTTATGAGTGGAAAGGAGACCAAACAGAAGACCCCTGGCGTTTCTCTTGTGTTGTATGTACTGTGATAGCTCCGGGTGCCACACTTGCGCTGTCCATGAGAAATGTAATAGAAACCACATATGCAAACTTAAACATTCTTGTAGCCACATTAAAAAGTAAAAAGGAAGCAGAACTAGAAATGTATTCTGTTTAATTCTATTCTGTCTGCATGGAAGGAACACAAACCTCATCAGTGAGCCTCCCACTCCCCTTCCCCCTCGCTTCGCAGTCTCAGTACCTGGAAGCATCTTTCACCTACACCGTATCTCCAGTTGGACTTGCCACACTGCAAGTGTTCCATAGTTACATGTTGCCAGTGTTTACTGTACTGGATAGTCCTAGTCATGTAAATTACCTTGCAATCCTAAAAAAGGCATATTTTAAAATTGGAGTTCAATTTGTTTGACAATCATCTTTCAAGAAACTTCCCAGAAACGTGTCATGGAATGCAGAGTGGCTGAAGGTGTTCTGTGCTTGCCAGGTGACCAGGCCCCGCACTACTATAAAGCTGTGACTGTGGGTGTTCCATGAAGGCCCTATTGGACCCATTTTCTTTATCTCACATTCCTTCAAGCATCAAGGTATGGAGGACATGAGGAACAGCTGTACGTATTTGTGAAAAACATTTAAAAAGAAAGCCCACTCAGGTCTGTTTCTTGGCCAGTACCATGCTGTTTTTATCACAGTAGCTTTGTAGTATAGTTTCAGGTTGGGGATTGTAATACCCCCTGCCATGTCTCTGTTACCTAGGCTTTTGCTCTTCTGGGTCTCCTCTTGTTTCAAATGAATTTTTGGATTGTTTTCTCAAAGTCTGTGAAGTATGCTGCTGGGATTTCAATTGGGATTGCATTGAATCTGTATAGCAGTTTTGGAAGTATGGCCATTTTCACTATATT